TACAATATAAAGGAATTTTAATCCCCTTTTAGAACTAAGAAATTTTAATTTTTCATTGCAGATTTCAGCATGTGTATTTGCTTACTTTTAGCAGAGTATCATTCTCTATAAGTTAACATTTTCTTTTTCTTTACAATGTGTTGGGTTTTTTTATTTAATTAGCTCACTTTTTAATTTTTCTCCAGTAGCTATTTCTGAGACACCCAATTTTAAGCAGGTGTGTCCATCTCATAAATAAAGGGAGGGCTGTGCTTTAAAATCCTATAGCTCGTTTTAACTCCGTGCGCCCAGTGATACCAGGAGAACAGTACTGAACCCAGGACAGAGCACTGGCAGCAGGAGAGACAGAAATGTCGGTCCCTGCTGGAAGTAGGGATGCCGGATGGTAAAAATCCCCTCCCGTCGGCTCCTCGGCTGGGCCTGCGAGGCCCCGGCTCCCCGGGGTGCGCGCCGCCGGCCTGGCTGCGGGCGGGGGCGGGCGGGGGTGCTGCTGAGGAGACGCCGCTGAGGGGAAGACGCTCCGGCTGCGGCCGGGGCCGTGGGGAGGCAGCGCTGGCCGTGCCCGGCCGGTCACCGGGCTCACCGCTGCGGCAGCGGGGCGGGGAGGGGGGCTGCTGCCTCGGGTGGGGGGCACTGAGCCCGGCGGGACGGCCGCTCGCCCCCGCCTCGGCCGGGGCCTGGGCCGGGGCTGGGCCGGGGCGGCGGCGGCGGCACCTGTGTCAGGCCGGGCCGGGGCGGGGCGCGGGGAGCGGCGCGGCGCGGCGTGGCGTGGGCTAGCGGGAAAGAACAAGACAGGGATCCAGAGTGCGGAGCTGTATTGTCTGCTCGCAGCGTGAAGAATAAATTACAGTCTGTCAGAGCATGACTTAACAGTGCCAGGGGAAACTGGCTGCGTTGCAAAGTTTAGTTACATTTTCAGTAAAATAAAACTGTGGTATTTTACAGCTGAGGAGCTTGCTGCTTCTCCGGCCATAAAACTAGACGTGACTACGGCAGTGCTTAGTTTCCAGCTTGTGTCTCCTTCACAAATAAGTATTTGCAGTTCAGTTAGCCTCTAGGAACTTTGTAGCGTATTTATGGTAAATAAGTAGAAGCCAGTAAATAAAATCTTGTCTTGGGCTTTGATTTGCTGCTGCTGATGTAACTTTGCATCAGTAAGCATGGTATATAAGTGAAATATTAATACCATCAACTTCAAGCATACAGCTCTATACAGTAAAAAAAGAAAAAAAATAGTTGCAAGATAAAATTGTGTCGATAACACCCTTTAAAAAACTAATTCAATGCACTGCTTAATGCCTCCTTACTTAAAAAAAAAAAAAAACACAAAAAACAAACAAACAAAAAAAAAAAAAAAACAAAACACTTGTCCTACTGCCAGAGTTTCATTTAAGTTGATACCAGTTTAATGCCAAGTTTGCTATAAAACATTACTGTTAAAATACAGTATACTGAAGGAATTGTTTTTGCAAATGCTTCATTATGTTTTGAAGGGAAGAATGTAGAAATATATCCTTGTTCAGCTTGTCTTTACAGTTCAAATAACCTACTGAGAAATTGTCTTTATTTGGTATTTAAATGTTTTTCCCCCATAATTTGTCATTAATCCATTGGAATTAATGCAAGTTAATCAACAGTAGAACAAAACTTTCCTGAGTAATCGCCCTTTCTATGAAGTGTACACAAGCTATCATCCCACAGAGCACCTTCGGTCCCTTTAGGGAACAACAGACGAGACTGCTTTGCTTTTATATATATATATATATTCAATTATTATTATTTTAATCCCTGGAGAGTGTCTTTAAAAAGAAAAGCTCACTACACGTTAATGAAAGCTATTTCTGGTGATGTTTTTTTATGATGTGTACTGGAATTATTTTAATAATAAGATTAAAAAAAAAAAAAAAACAAAATACGTGAATTTACACTTTTCTGGGTAGCTTGATCCTAAACCAGAAATATGTTTGATTGGATTATTTTTTAAAAGATCATGTACCTGATCATTTTTTACTAAGCATTTCTGGAGGTTGTTAGATTAGAAACCACCCCATAATGAAAATGAGCTATATTATTTAGGAAGAAAAAAAATCACTATTTGTTTAGAGCTGACCTTAGTGTTGATGTCTGTATCATGCAAAACAGAGATGAAAGAACAAGAGATACCACTCTGAGTTAAAATATAAGCAAATGAATTAGTGTATAGCGAGAGTATCTGTAATGAGTTTCGAATAGACCGAACTTGTGATAAGGGGAAAGAGAGAGGTTATTAAATTATGTAATAGTATAAACTGCAGTGTGAAAATACTGCCTTAGTACTATTTACATTATTTGAATTTATTCAGGCATAATGAATCTTAAAATAATTCCTCCACTTCCCTTTATGGAATTCCATTTCTATTAAGTGAAGCTTACAAGTTGGACTTCACGTAATTGTTTCCCTCTTTCCTGAATCCTTACTTTTTAGTACTGCAGTAAGCTAAGGTTAGATGACTTTCAATCTTATTTTACAAATATGGTGACAGATACAATGCATTTATATATCTCCTTGAAGAAGGATAACTTTCAGTGAATGAATCTGAGACATACTTGTATAAAGGCGATGCACTTCCAAACCTCCAAATGCACTAGAATTATACCAGGTATGAGACAGGCGTAACCAGAGATGAAACGCAGCCATTTCCACATTTATACAAAAAAAGAGAAAGGAAGGGGTAGGCATGGAGAGTGAAGAATGAGGAGATACGTATTTTTATACAGAAAGTACAAAAATATTTAAGGAGCTAAAAATAGCATCTGAGAAAAAAGGGGGAAAGTCATTCATAAAAACAATAAAATGCAAGTAAAACACTGTCAACTAAGCTATTCGTATACCTGAGTCTGATCCTTCCCTAAAAACCAGGTCTTTTATATTGCATTGGCATTAAAAGTTATTGAATGCACTACCGCATTTCATCTGGGTCTTTTCTCTGTAGAGTTAACATTCTCATCTGTGCATGTTTTGTTAAAATAAATACTACCATGAATGTCATGCCATTATTTTTAAACAAAAATGATAAGAATTTTAGCTGGACGTTATGGCTGTCTGCTGCTAAGTCTGTTATCCAGAAATTCTGCTTGCTTTTACTTTTTAACCAGCCAGAATTTATGCATACACATCCTCTGCATCCAGGCTGTATGCAATAGATACCAAAGTTATTAGAAGAGGTCAGAATTACTAGGTGTCATTTTACCAAAATAAAAATTTGTGGGAAAGTTACTGTTTAAATATCTTGTCAACTATGTCCTGATAATCCCTACTATACTTTTACTATAATTCCCTAAAAATAAATATTAAAAACATTTTGTGGTTTCACACCATTAAAAAAAAAAAAAAGTTGGTAAGGGTAAACCATAAAACATATATTTGGCTTACAAAATAAATGTTTATGCTTCTCAGAATGCCAGTGGTTGAGCATTTTCTTGAGATTTGAGGCTGGATAAAAATGTGTAACAGAGGTTCCTTAAATATGTCACCGCAGGAGTCATTCAAGATGTGGCACAGCCAGCCAGTTCCGAGAAACCCACATGTGCCATCCCTTACTTTCTAGACTTGGCTAATATTGTGCATTTTAATAGAGCGATAGTGATTAAAGCCAGGCCTGAAAACAATGAGATAGGTTTTCATATGTTGGATGATGTATAGGTAGAAAGTATGTTCTGTCAAATACAGTATATAGTGTTCTTAGTAGTGCTTGCTTTTGCCAGTTAGGCAGAATGCATACAGGGCTTGGAACGGCTGTATTACGGGCTATAATATATTGTAAATAGCATTAAGCCTTTCTCACAGTCGTTACCACAGCTGATCATTTAAATACTGTGGTTTTAAAAATCATGTGCGTTTATGTAAGAAGGAAATGTATCTTGAAAAAAATCTGTGACTCCAAAGACCTCTGCTCCATTTTGCAGGATAGTGTGTTTTTAAGCAGAAGGTTGGAGAGCAGCCTCTTTGGATGGGATCTGGGAGTTGCAGGGGATAGAAACTCACATCTACTGGGTTTTCTTTTTCCATTGCATATTTTTCTGTCACCTCTTGATCGATATTTAGAGGAATAAAATATCGATTAATATCTTTTTTCCTGAGGAATATTTTATGAAGTCTTAGAAACACATGGTAGTGACTCTTCCAGTTAGTTGAAAATGCATAGCTCTTTTAAAAGTACATCAGGAAAGCATTGATAGCATAAGCGAAATAAATATTAAAAGAGAGGAACAACTATGACTTCCCTTAAGTAACCATGTAATCTCTTTTTTCTTATGGTAACATATTTTCCACAAAGAAGACTCTTCAAGGTTGAATCCTGTACAGTCTCCTTCCCCCCCGTCCGTCCCTCCCCCCCCACCACATAGGGCAAATCAAATGCTTGACAACGTTTTTTTGTTAGGAAAGCACATAAAAAAAATTTTTGAATATACCAATAACAGAAAAAGTATATATATTTTTATTGCAACAAGGAGATTTCATTGGTTGAGTGAAATGGCGAGATGTGACGCAAAAGGACACTTGGACGGGTAGAAATGCTGATGTATGCCAAAGCAGGCGTACCAAGAAATGCTGTTGCTATGAGAGAAACAGAGGGAGAGGGAGAGAGAGATCGTGAGAGAGCAAGTTGTGGAGGCCTTATTTTTTCCTTTTTGGCTTATAGCAGAGAGACTGCAACATCTCCCGTTTCTAGCAGGGAGGCTTCAGAAGCTTTCGGTGGGTTTTTTCATTAGACTGAGCATTTAGAGGAGGGGAGGAAGACAAGAGAGATGCAGGTCACCTTAGAGTACAAAAGCAATTGGAAAGTAGGAGGCTGTATATACTAAGCCAATGATCTGTGCTATGATAGATATACAAATTAGTACGACAGATGAAGCAGCTTAGCTCATTATGCACCTGATGGTATTAAGACTTACAATTCAAAATTACAAAATTAAAATGCACACAGACACAGACAGACAGATATTTACAATGACCCCACCTTTTCAGCTTATGAATTATCCAGCTGGGATACCGACGTCTCTTGTGTAACATTCTTAAAGAGCTGCAGTAAATTCACCTTGTGAGTCCATTAGCCAGAAAAGGGGGAAAATAATTTGCAGGAAATTTTTTTTTGTCTCTCTTCTTCGGCAAGGGGGAAAAAAGTTTGTGCTATGAACTTAGCCTAGCAGCTTCTGGAACGTGAGCCAAAAGGGGCAGGAAGTTGTTTTACAATAGCGTTACAGTGATCTGCCACAAATGGAAAAAGCCAAATGTTGGACTCGGCAAAGAGAAAAAACATCCTTCTCCCCCTCATTTCCCTCCTTTTGCCCCTTAAGAGAGAAAAGAGAAAGGAACCTTGAGCTAGAAGTTCTTTTTCTTTTTTTTTAATTACATCTTGTAAGTAATGGAAAGATTATCTTACTTGCATATTCCATGGCAAGCACGAGGGAAAGAAGTATCAAAGGGACGTTTAAAAAAATGCACTTGGTAACTAGCAACGGGACTTTTGGCACAATTCCTTGAGTTTGCTTGAGGTTATGGAGGGGGGATGGGAAGAAGAAAAGCAAGTCCACGCAGTACGTTTTCTTTAAAAAGGGGGAGGGGGAATGGAAGAGAAACTACATAATGTTGGTGTTTTTTTTTTTTTTTTTTTTGTGCTAAAGGAAATGTGTGTTGATCCTCTGAAGCTGAATCCTCAGGCATTTGTGGCCCGTCTTTGCAGTCCGATATGTTTTTTTGTGAGTGTGTGTAAGCGCTCTCAATCAAACAGCAATCATGGCAGCTGTTTTTCTTCCAGCACAGCAGTTGAGCTGTCTCGCCCAAATGCTTATCAGCTTTTGACTCGGTGCCAAGATAGTTATAAGGGCCAAGCAGCCTGAGCTTGGCTGTGCAGCTGGTTTAGAAGTAAGGGCATGAGAAAACAAAATCACCAAGTTTTTTTGTCACATACAGTATTTGCTTTTTCAAATACCCCTTTTCAGCTCTGTGGGTTTGGGGTTTGGTTTTTTTTTTCTGTGTGCTGCAGTTTCGTGGTCCTTGCGGACTGCTTTGCTACAGAGAGACGTCTAGGTACGTGTAAATAGAAAGAGAAGAGGAGCCCTCTTCTCTCCGTTTTAATCCCGGAAGATATTTCCGTAGGACCTCCCCCCACCCCTCCGCCCTCCCCATACCTCCTGCCCCCCCCCCCCCCCCCCCCCCCCCAATTAAAAGCTTCATTAGCCGCACTGCACTGTCAAGCACATTGCCGTGGCGTGGGTGCATTTACATTCCAGCGCAGCGCCTTTCCTCCCAGTTGCCCTTTCTCCCCGCGGGTGCCCACGCCAGCCCCCGGGGCCGCCCGGCCGCAGCAGCTCCCGCCGCGCCGTGGGGGCGGCCGCGGGTGGCGCGGCGCTGCGCGGCGTGGCGGGGCGCTCGGTCCGTGGCGGGGTGCGCGTCTCCGCGTCTGTCTGCGTGTGATGAAAACGAGCCTGCTCACGCAGGGCCGTGCCTCTCTTTCATCATCAGCTCTAGCCCTCTGCGTTTCGCTAGCTCACGTCCTCCTCCTCCTCCTCCTCTTCCTTAGCCAGATTGCTCCAGTCGCTCACAAGGGGGAGGCTGGACTCTGAAAAAAAGGTTGCTGCTGCTGCTGCTGCTCGCATTCCTGCTGCAAGGGCCTCCCCTTCAGACGGCCTTTGCCAGAGCAGAACTTTTAAAAATGCTGCAAATAGGATCTTCTTTTTCCTCTGCGTTATTTAACCCTCCTCTTCCACCGTTTAAGAACGCAGCTCGTTTTCCGTCTCTCCTGCGCTGTGCTCGGCTGTACTGTATATCGCAGTGTTGAGGTTAAAGCTCCAAGTATTTTCCCCTCCGCTGATCCTTTTTTCTCTCTCTCTCCCCCTCCCCTCTCTCTCTTTTTCCTCCGTTAAAGAAATTGATTTCTTTGACTGAGCAATGAATCGGGCTTTGCTAGTTCGTGTGCTGTGAGAACGGAGGCTTTTTATTCGTGATTTTTCTCTCCCAAGTACCAGTGCACAGTGCTGCTTATGGAACAAGCCTCTCGCTGTCTTTCTCTTTAATAGAAATATATTTTTAATGGCTTTAGGTATCTGCGCCATGTGAAATAGGGTGGATGAGATCCTTCCAAACCCCTTGTAATTTGACCGTGGCTGAAATGGAAATATTGGAGGGGGGGGGGGGGGGAGACAGGGGGCTGGGTGTGGGGTAGGGGGTGCACAGGCTGTTTCATCCTTGCAAACCTCTCCCCCCTCTTTCTCTGCTGAGGAGGGAAAAGGGGATGTGCAGTAAAATGCCGTCTCTGGGACAGGTGCCAGCTCCTAGACAAAAGAAGTAAAATAGGCGGTAAAGAGGGGAGGGGGGGGGGGGAAATTAATAGCCAACAAAAATAGGAATCGAAAATCTCTGAGAGGCAGCACTGGCGAAAGTGATGGTGGCTAACTGGCCTTTTTGCCGAATATTTTCTTAGCGATGGCTGGAAAGGAGAAAGTTGCGGCATAGTTTTTATTCTCGTCTTCTCTGCAGACATTTGAAAGCATGAAGGGAGGGTGGAGGGTGCCTTTTTTCTTTTCTTTTTTTTTTTTTTTTTTCTTCTTTTCCCTCCTTTCTACTGAATTATTCATAGTGTCAGTGGTGAAGCCAGGACTATTAGCATGCATCAGACATGCTGTTTGTCTGTTTGCTAACATTCTTCATTCAAGACTTGTTAACTACCAGACAAGCTTAACACGCTTCTCTTTTTTTTTTTTTTTTTTTTTTTTTTTTTTCTCCCCTCCCCTCCTCTCTCTCTCTCTCTCAATTCTCTTTTCCCCTTCCCTTCCCTTCCCTCCCTTTCATGCCACCCCTCGCAGCCGCCCATTGTTGCTGCCGGGCGCTGGCAGCCGGGGGCAGTTGTGGCAGGGGAGCGGGCGGAGGAGAAGCCGGCGCCGGTTGCTAGGTAAGGACCGCCTTCCCCTCCTCTCCCAGGCCTGCATGCACTTGCAAGGGCGAGAAATGCCACAGAGCTCGTTCAGTGCCTTCTGCCTGCTTTTCCAGGAGACTGCAGAGCTGCAAGGTGAACACCACCAGCACCATCGGCGGCTCCCCGAGGCTGGCTTCCCACCCTGCGCAGGGTAAGCTGCTTTCCCACCGCTTCCCTGCTCCCCCTGCACCAGCGTTTTGTGTTTATGTACCGCTACGATGGCATGAGAGGCGAGTAATTACCAAGTAGGAAAATTAAGTTTCAGAAACTACGTGGGTATCGGCAAATTGGCTCGCGTCTGCCTATTAATTTATTATTAACCAGTAGTATGTTATCAGCCCGGCGAGGTTTAGGCTCATTCAGGATGATCGCTTGCTGGCTATTAGGGATGTGATATACTAATATTTGCTATTGTTGCTATTTTTTAGGTTCTCTTCTCCCTCTCTATCAAGTCTGCCCCTCCCTTCGCTAGTCTGTTTAAAACCAGCAAGCTTCATTTTCTTAGCAGACAAAGGTCGATCACAGCTTTTATTTCTGAATGCAAATGTTCTAGGACTTGTGCCAGTCTTGCCTTCATTGATTACAATATAGCTTCTTTCGTGAATGGCATTCCCCCCTTCCTTTTTTTTTTTTTTTTTTTTTTTTAAATAAAAAATAGGAGGAAGCTCAAGAAAAGAAACAAAGTTGGGCGGTGCAAGTTTTAATATTCAGTATTTCAGTGTGTTTGAAACATTATTAAACAGCCATATGCAGAGCAGTTCTAACGCAGCTGCTAAAAAGTATGTAGGGTTTTATGCCATTCGTGTGTATACACGAGGATACATGTTCGCATTTCTCAGCTAATATTTTGAAGGTAACTGATGATCTTCAGTAATTGTATCTCATTACAATTATGTTTCCCGATTGTCTTAGCAACGTGAATTTGGACATAATTATTTTCAGGGTTCATATTTAAATTTTTATAATACCTGGAATTGTTCAGGATTAGTTTATAATTACCATTTTTATAATATTTTTTTTAAATACTGTTTTTCATGGCCTTTAAAGATCCATAAGTGCTGTAAGTGTATTTTCTTCTTTATCTTTTACGTGCGCGCACGGGCACATGCTCACGCACACTCCCACTCTCTTTCTCTTGCTCTTCGGGTGTTAATGAAGGAATTTATTTTAAGTATAATATTTAAATATTAGAGTAATGCCACTTATAGATCAAAGTAGCATGTGGATATAGATGCACAGAGTTAGGCACAATTTGGCAGACGGTTATACACTTAAGATTTATTACTACTATGAAATTGCCAGGCCTATTATAATACTTACCTTGTATTCTTTATATAGACAAGTGCATGTGCAAATTAAAGTATCTGGAAATAAATTTTTCTTTAAAGACACTTGATGAGAAGACTAGTCCTTTTGGATATATATTGGTAAAACAAAATGCTTTCCTCTACACTGTAAAAAAGGGAGGCTTATGTAAAATATTTTAATCTTTTCCCTTTGATTTTATTTATATCCAGGAATTAAGTAACAAAACAAGTTTGGGGTTTTTTTCTCCACAAAACCCACAAAATAATGAGAAAATACCGAGTGACTTGTACAAAAATAGTTTTAAATTCAGGCCATTGACAGCATTGTATCAAAACCATCTCCATATTGGCATTGCATTTGAACTGTTTTATGGCAACATAAACTGAAAAACAACTCATAACTTTAAGTAGTAAAGCAGTATTTATTGGCCGATCAAGCTCAAACTAAGTAGAGAATGTTTTAGTGAACTGTGTAGATTAAGAAAGGAGTTTAGGAACGTATGGCTTGGTGATAGCTAAAATTAATTTCTTCGGAGTACTCTTTAGAGGCCTGTAGTAGCTGCACAGTACAATGCAAATAAAATACTAGTTGAGGGTTTTAACTCGCAGCCCTTTTTATAAAATCACAAACTGCTAAACACTCTTCATTGGGAAATTTCAGAGTACTCAGTGATGCTGCTCCTAATGATGCTGTTTATCTAAAGAGGATTTTTATTTTCTTATGTTGTAATACTTGTTGGGGTTGTTTTGTTGCTGAAGACTAGCACTTGAAGGAATATAAAATTGCTTCTGGTGTATTAGTTCATTATTTTGTGGTAGCTTGCTAGAAATGATCGCTGTGAAAGTAAAAGAAGCATTGCCTTATTGCTGGTTTATTTCACAGGATTTCTATAAGCATGCTGAAAATGAACATAGCAGTGTGTAAAGATCACGTGTATGTTAATTGAAGAAGGATTAAAATCTGTTCATTAGGTTGGTGAATTCCAAGTTCTAAATCTAAAGTTATTTTTAGTCTGTAACTTGAAATATAACTGCCGATAGAAATATTCAGCCCCTCAGATGAATGCTTTTAGCAATTATGCACATGAGCTAGAGAATTTACATTTTGAACGAGTTTTGTGTTGGGCTGCCAGGATTCTGGTACAAAATGTTTGGTGCATGGAATGAAAAAATAAAAGTATAGACAATACTTCGCTTAATTAAAATAATTTTTTTTTATAGCTGGCTAGGATGAAGTTTTGCATATTGTCAGAGAATAGTTGAGTGAAACACAGTGAAAATAATCAAAGATGCCCTGGTTTTGCTCCAAACTCTGACCTCCCTCCCTGCCCCTCTCCTCCCCCCCCTCCCCATCCTCCAAATGGATTTTTATTCTCCAAAAGGATATGTAAGGTGATATGTATGCTGATAAATGAACAGTCTATTCTTAAACTCCCACCTATCTTGACTGAAAATGTGGCTTTTACCAAATGATACTAACACTGAGAAAGTGGGGAACACGAGGGAAAGGTACATATGTTCTAGGCCTGTGAGTAATGTGAAGTGCTCAACAGAGAGCACTGTTACATGCAAGGCAGAGAGCAGCTTGCAGTGAAATGAGAGGAGCGTAGTCCACAGCGTTTTACACGGATAGGTGGGTTGCGATGTGATGGTTTTTTTCAGAGATAAGAACTGGGACGTGTGGCATCCTTATTCAGGCTAAACTTTTTGAAATTAATTGGAATTTTGCCTGGATGAATGCTGCCAGGTTTGGATCAGGTTAAGGGAGATTTTACTGTGGGTAAAGGAGAGAGAAAAGGGAGGAGGTGGAGAGAAGAAAGAAAGGGAAAGGGAGTGGAGCAGGAGTTACCACTTTCAGATGTGGATGCAGGCCATAGTTCTCATCTTCACTGAATATAGAAGATAACATGAAACTGTAAGGCTGGATTATATTTTGTATGGCTGTATTGGTACAGCACTGCCTTTACCTAGTACATACCAAGTATTCATAAATGTTTTCTAGCAGCTAAGGAGAAATAAAAGGAGGAGTGGAAGGAATGCCTTGTTTTATCCAGTATTTTTTGGGGGTGTGGTGTGTGTGTGCAGTAAGAGTGTGTAATTCATGTCCACTCAGTTTTTCAGCAGCTCCCTTGCAGGCAGAATGGTTTTACTGTAATCTGCCTTCCTCTATGTGCTACATATTCCTGTGGCGTGATAAACCTCGGCAGGGCCTTGTACCTCACACGGCAGCGTTCAAAGTCTCCTATGCACATGGGTACTCAGGGCATGGGCAGGCCTGTGATCGTGACACCTTTCCTCAAGAAAATGGAAATGCGCTTTAATTAGGCATTTTTCCTACTAACTGCATCAGTCGCTCTCAGCTTGAAACAGGTGCAGGTAATCAGCCCTCCCTCCTTCTCCCCCTGCAATGGTGGTTGTTGTGGAGGCCTAATATATATAACAAAGCAATACTGCCCTGCACTTTTAATTTTGATTTATGGCACCTGTGCCTGTCTGAGAAGAAAAAAAAAAAAAAAATTTAGAAATATGATTGCATGTCTTTGTTTCCCAAATAAGACATACTCTAGAACATGTTTCTTCATAGCTACATACGTGTTCATATAACATGAGTGCTTGTACAATGCATTTGATTTTTGCAAAGATAGGTATTCATTTATCTAGTATGCATGCAGCTAGATAGACTTATGATTGCAGCCAGAAGACAAAAAAGTTGAAATCCCTGTAGCCAGCACAATAGACATTCATAAGTGGAGTGATCCCAGTAGATATAAAATGGCGGGGTAGATGTTTTCAAATGCACACGCACTTTTGCAAGTCCTGAGTTTATACTACTCTAAACTGTACTGGCAATTCAAATCTATACTTGTTTATGCATTTGACTCTGTGCCTGATCCACAGTAGGATGAATTCTGTTGAGTTTGATGGACTTTAGAACAATCCCCCTGTACCCAGATATTCATTAGCATAGCATGTATGCACAGCTGTGGAATCACTAATAAATCTGGCCTATAACTCCTCACTAGTGAGGAAACCAATTTGTGATTTTCCTAGGAACAATGCAGAAATTTGTCCACAGGTATTTCTGCACTCATGTAGAATATTTAAAATCTCCTAGTGACCACGGTACTAGGATTTCATTAAAATTTGATTTATCTCCAGAATAGAACATAATTCCGTTTAAGATGCCTTGATTTGTAGGTGGATATGCAGGAATAAAATGCCCAGAATCAGGCCCTTTGCAGCATGTCTTTTAAAAATATATACTGTCAAATACAAGATCGCATAATTTTGAGTTGCCCTTTTTAAAAACAGTCTTTTTTCATAGATGATTAGTGTTACCAGTTATTTAATAGTTTTACACTCTTCCCTCCTGCATACGTTTGAAATCTGCTATGCCATACCTCTGGAAACAAAGGATCTGATCCAAAGGCCTCTGAAGGCGACGGGGGTTTTTCCATCAACTTCAAATGGTATTTGGATTAAGCCTATATACCTAATAGTTTGCAATAATGATCTAACTGCTATTGTGGTTTTAGGGGTCTTCCACAAAACTTTTCAAAACTCTTATAAAAATTGTCCAGGCATGATAGTCCAAAATACATGTCTAAGCATTGATCACGTTCTGTTGTTTTGTTTCAAAAAAAGGGGGGGCCTTCAAAGAGCTTCATCTTACTGATGCTCCAAATGAGAGTTTTATGAATAAAAACCAAGTGATTGTTCGTTCCATATTTGGTATGTATTTGATGCATTACCTTGTGCATCCTTTATTTAAATAAGGGCAGTCTTTTTGGAAGGAGTCTATAGATTTAAGATGGCAATGTACTACTTATTTATTTTTACACAT